CTCTCCCTCTCTCCCTCTCTCCCTCTCTCCCTCTCCCTCTCCCTCCAATTATATTAGATCTTGAGCTATGGGTCACTTTAAATCAGATTTTGTGATTCCTCTTATTTTCTGTAATAGTTTATAGTACTTATAAACATCATATGTTTCTGTGATAGTCTTTCTATATGATATTCAGATCTGCACTTTCCAGATTTCATTGCCAGCCTAACCAACAGAGAACTTAGTTATAGAAATCCCAGAATTGTTTCAATATATCTGGAGGGACTGGGTTGAAAGTTGTTGTAATAAGATGTTGGAAATGTACATTCCTCCAGCTATTCATTACTTAAATATGTAAACAACCTACAACTAACAGAATGTTTTTTTCAAACTCTGGATGGCACAGGATTATTAATACTGATGCTTACCATGCCATTATCAAAGTACCCTTATTCTGAGCCCGAATAACTAAAGTTTTGTCCTTTAGTTACAAGAACATAAAAGTTGTGTGGAATCTATCCAATGATCTAACCCAGCTTTCTGTTCCTATGTAGGACAATCAGATACTTAACAAGAAGCCAAGCAGGACAGGAACATACAGTAGCAAATCTTTCTGCCTATGTCCACTAACAACTGGTATGTTACCTTCAGAAGTAGAGTCTATATGATTATTATGATTAGCAATCTTTGATGTTACCTAATTTGGATAATGAAAAATCTATAAGAAAACAACCAAGCCCAGAGAGCACCAAGGATCCCTCATTCAATAACCTTATTCCCCCATGAGACTTCTTTTAAAACCACCTGACTTAGAGATCAGAGATATTTCCTTTTATCTACCTCACATCTCTCAGAATTCAACTTAGTTTAATGATTCTGAGTAGTAGTATTATGTAATAGTAGTATTATGTAATATTATAATGCTATATTAATAATATGAGAGAGAAAACAACCTATTTCACAGCATTATTTTTATGGATATAAAGTGAGAAGTGAGCTCCACTTCTCACTTGTAAGCCACTATGAGCTTTTACAAAAAGGATATATCTAAAATATATCGTATATTTTATGGTATATATATATATATATATAATATATATATATATGTAATAAATATTTTTGTTCTGTTTAAAAAGTGCCAAATATCATAATGGTCAATTAATGGAAAGCCTTAAGGATTTGGATTGCCCCTCTAATGTACTTTTATTATGGTATATATTATATGAGCTGTATAATGTTGTATTTTGGGGTGGTAAGCAGAAATGCACAGCTTGAAAGCATTATTATGGTGATAAAGCATCCTGAGAATTAACTCATAATATTTCAGTTATTCACCTACTGGTCTTTTCCCTTACCACGCATTCTGGTTTTTTTTTCCTGATATCTACTGCAGATACTTTCCCCATCTCCCATTTTTCCCCAGTCTTAATGGATAGCTGACGACTTGAAATCTAACCACATTCAGACCAGGTTAGACTTGGATGTGAAATCATCAGGAAATTCCATAGACTAGACTGGATTTTTTTTAAAAAAAAATTACATGTTACAAAGCTCTTTTATATAATTGCCAAGAAATTGCATGGATATATCCATGTAGTCACGCGAGGATTTGAGTTTCACCTAAAGGAATTTTTATTATAGAGACAGTAACAGAGCACACAAACCTGTTTTTTTAACTCTTCATTTATTTTTTTTAAATAAACTTTTGAATAGCTTGACATGCAACATTTGATGTGATCTGAGTAGACAGGGATAAAATGACAGGATGTCAACAACCATCAAGAAGACAGTTAAACAGGGTTATTGCTGTTTTAAGAGTTTGACAGGAAAGAGGCTTGCAATACTTTGTAAAAGCCACTTTTCCCTGTCTCCCAACCCTGTTCGCCCTATTGACTCAGAAGTGGTGACATTAAGTTAAAGATGTGCAGTGGACTCACTGTTCCCTCAAAATATACACATGGGAGCACAAATGAAAGGCCCCTGAGCCAGCTATCAAGAGATAAAAGGGAACAACTGAAAAAATGTTGATAGCAGCCTAATTTTTTTTTTGTTTCACTTTACAGAATCATTAGGCCCCGGCCTGTGCCCCAGATATGCAGTGGTTATGGTTGGTTAGGACTTGCTAGAGAATTTACCCGTCAAATCCAACAGGTCTGTTCTACAAACTGTAACCCTGCCCCTGCAAAAGCAAAACTACTATCTAGTTTCTCCTTTACAGAATGAAATGGGGCCACTTATATTCCTGAGGCCATGTTGCTGGCTCAACATTAGTTGAGTTAGGGTCCCCACTGATAAAGTCCTCACCCATTGGAACCTTCTGTTCCCACTGAGGAAACAAAACTGCTCAGGATAGGCAGCGTTCCTAACATTGTATCAACTGAAGGAAATGACTAGCAGGATCTCCTTTCTGTAGAAGACTTTCCAAGGCCATTTCTGAAGTGCCATAGCGACCTACGAAAAATGGGAAATTTAAGTCCATAAGGGCTGAGGCTCAAGCATCATGGGAAACTCCTAAAGGTAAAGCTAGCTGCCAATATTTATATTCTTTGGGGATTACCCCAAAGGATAAAAACTAGATTTTAAAGCTCTAGGCCTTATCTGAAAGTCAGCTAATACATACACTACAACAGTTCTAGCCTACCTACTTGGAGGTATTCAACTTCTATTCTTACAGTAAGACCTAAAGATATTGGGGTGGGTGGTGTTGTACTGCAGGTCAAGGGTCATTACGACATGTGGGAAACTTTATGCCCTTTCTCTTCGGCAAGAATTGTTTGCACATTAGGGGTGCTTCTACATCTAGGTTCTTTCCTGGCAGCCCATCCCTTAAGGCAACTGAGGCAGGAAAGGAGAGGCACAAGTCCTCCTGGAGTAAGGAGCAGGGATCCAAAGAGATAAGGGAATACATTATTCTCTAGTTAAGTAAGTAAGACAGAGAAACAGTGAGAGTGAAGCAGCAGCTGATAAATATACAGGACACGGAGAGAGCAGGACACAAGGACAGGGCCAATTGTAGCAGAAGTCAAGGAAAGCCGGCTGCAGCATGCAGGTGTGAGGCTTCCATCCCATTTAGAAACTACAAGATGAGGAAAAGAGGGAAGAGGGAAAAGTCAATAGAAATGAACTTAATATACAAGCTTCTCTCCAGCTAAATATTAAGGAGGAAGCTTTCTGCATTTAGTTCTGCAATTTGCCAGTAGTTCTTACAGAGATAAAATTGGTGGTGTTGAATCATTAAGTCCATGGATTTGGTGACAGCCAGCCAGAATACTTACTCCTGGAAGCTCACAAACAGGATTTATGTCGTGAAGGATCAAGGGGGGGGGGAGGACCTACCCTATGCCCCTTGTGCAAGACAGAGTTTATTCTGTTTTAATTAAAAGGCGTCTAGCAAATCTTGTGAGAAAAATATTTACCCAGTTGGAAGAAGCTGAAGGGCAAATCTGATGGAGTCGTGGGAAGAGGAAATATTATGAAATGCAATTTAAAAAAAATGGTGAGATAGAGAGCATATGATGAACTTAACCTGATGGTGAGTTTAGATGCTCTGGGCAGGTGGTGATACTAGGTATTAGCTGGCTGCAGTCTCCTGATGAAAGGGAAAGAGCTTGGCTTGCTCATCAGCTTCAACACCACAGGGCAGGTCACTTCTACAGCAGAGCAAAAAAGAACACATAGTATCTCAAACCTTCCCTCCCTGCTAAATGCTTTCCCCATACTTTTGTATACAAATAAATAAATAATTTGTCCCTGGAACTAACCACTCTGAAGAAATAAGAAAACTGATTTGATCCAATGGCTAGGCAATCTTCCTCCATACAGTTTCTCACCTGTTATCATTGATGTCTGTGGCATTTCCTGTGTACCCGTCCAGTGGAAGAACAGGGAAAGAAAAAAAAAACAGCATTACAATTCAGAAAAGGGCACATGCTGAAGGGGCAACCAGTGCCGTTTGTGTGTGTGTGTGTGTGTGTGTTTTTTTAGTTCTGCCAGGAAAGTGCTGCCTCACTGAAACTTAAACACGAACCTACCAGCACCTCAAGCACAAGATAATGACAAAGGAGATCTATTCTGAAGTATTTTCTATTGAAAATACATCTCTGAGTTTATTTTCTTTGCTTTCCAGCTTTCCTGTCCCATTTGTTTTCTGAGACAGAGGACCAGAGGTGGGTTCCTACCAGTTCGCACCTATTCGGTAGAACCTGTTCATCAAATCTACCGAACCGGTAGAAGAGGTTCCACCAGTGGACCCGGAAAGCAGGCCACACCTACAGAAAAGGTTCCTAAATTTTTTGAAACCCACCACTGGTCCTTGGATATGATTATTCTACACTATCATGCTCATATTTATAAAACTCAGTGTCTCTGTGAAAGGTAAGGATGACGACTGCATTTGTGGTGCAATCAGAACATTGCGTGTGTTGAAGTTGCTTTAACGCAAAACAAGGATGCCTTTTAAAAAACAAGTTACAACCTATTCTTATGCATGCCAGTGCTGTGTGTGAGGTGATTTAAGGTGGTTCTGACAAGTGTCGTCGGCATCTTCATATCCGGTCACACGGGTGGCAAGCCACTCCCATCCAATCACATGGGCAGCAAGCCACTCCCACAAAGGAGGCCACACCCACAGAGTAGGTTCGAACAATTTTTGAAACCCACCACTGCAGAGGACCCATGCACCGCATCCCTGTCTGTAAACCAAGAAAGAGTGGGATGTGAGAATAAACTTTCATTATAAATACAATGCCTCCTCACCAAGTGGGTCCTTTAAATGGGGCCACAATGATCTCAAGCTACTGATAGACCCAGTCTAGACAAACAGAAAGGCAACAGGCACCACCCTCCCTTCGCCTGAAGGGTGTACTTATTTTTTCTTCCCAATATCCTACCATTATCCATATTGAGCTTCTGATAGGAGGTCAGAGGGGCAGTGGAGGAGTTGCTTCCACTGCTGGAAGGTGCACTTGTAAAGCTGCATGAATGGAAAAAGAAAAGGGATATATAAACAGTGAATGGATATTAATAGATTATGTATGGTAAAAGGACTGTAGATGCCTAGCTGTCTCAGTTCTATTCCACTTGTCTCAGTGCTGAAGCTTACAGCTGAGGGGAACTTCTAGGGATCGTTGTGCTGTAATAGAACAGAGAACCCTGAAGCCAAATGTGACGCTAAAAGCTGGGGAGAGAAGTTCTGTGTGTCAAAATGATTTTGAAAAGCCTTTGCAAGTAAGAATGTGTAGGAAATAGATGACTATTAAGATCTTGTATTCAAATTACTAAATGTACTAAATTCCAGGAAAGAGTATTTAATCTGAAGAGGGCAAGTTTGGGAAACAGTCATCCCACTAAATCCCCAATGTGGATGAACTTGTTCCTGATTCTCCAACTTAAATCTTGGACCTTTGAATGACAGCCAAACATAGCAGTCTTTTTTTTTTAAGTTTTGTTATTAATTCCAGTTATTTCCCCCCCTGTGTATTTGTGAAGATTGTAATGATCTGGTGAGTAATTTATATCTCCAGCTCAGACTTAATGCATCTTAGATTATATTTTAAAAAGTAGGTTAGACCAGCCAGCACATAAGCAAATACAAATTCATTCTTCTGGCATGACTTCTTCTCCACATGATAATATATAGTGGATCTTGCACATTCAAATTATTTTAGAATTCCAGAGTCCAGGTCCAAAAAAAAATTGCAGTTGGCCTAGGCCTACTCTTTGCAACCAACCAATAACTAAGACTTAGATTTAGATCAGATTTTATGTAAGTCAAATGAAATTATGACATATTCAACTTTGATTTATGGAGCAAAATGTTCTTCAGATTGCTACCTGAAAAACTGATAGATTCATCTAGAAAGCTGTCTTAAGCCAACCACACCGTAAGCCAATCATAGTTTGCACAATTTAACAGAAATAGAAGTCAAATATACTCACTAGCTGTCAGGCACAGTGCCACCAGAATTCAGGTAGGCATTTTGATAATTCTGGAAGAGGCTATTGGTGTAGCTGATGCAATCAGAATTACGGACACCATAAGGATTGGTCGGGGATGAAGCTGGATAGTGCCCTGGTCGCACTGGTTTTGCTGCAAGAGGAAACAAATGTTAGATTTGATTGGATAAACCATACAGTATTTCCTTGGAAGAGTAAAGGACAATCTGAACAAGGGGAAAATCTGAAAAATACTCATGAGGATTATAAAATTGTTTGTTTATGACATTTCTTCACAAAGAAAAGCTCAAGAGCAAAACCAATAAAATAAATAATTCAATAAATCTAAAGAAAAGCTTTCTGAAATAAAGGACTATCCGTTATATATAAGGATGTACAGTCACCGTGTGTGTGTGCGGGCATGCACACACACCATTAATTCATTAATTCATGGAGCTAGGATTTTCAGGGTCTGAGTTTTATTTTTCCATCCCACTGGAAGAGTTTAACTCCCTTCCATGCACAGAAGGGTACTACTGAATTGGGTTTCAGGAATGGAGCTGGGATTTTGGGGAATCTGAGCTCCATTTCTGCTGGAGAAGTTCCCCTCTCCTTGACAGGTAGGCCTTTTGCTCTCAAAGGTCTACCTGAAAGTTCGGTATATGGGGGGGGGGGAGGTGGAATCTCAGCTGTGTGCAGAATTGAGATTCCCAACTGGATGGCAGTCCTTTTGCTCTCAAAGGTCTACCTGAAAGTTCGGTATATGGGGGGGGGGGAGGTGGAATCTCAGCTGTGTGCAGAATTGAGATTCCCAACTGGATGGCAGTCCTTTTGCTCTCAAAGGTCTACCTGAAAGTTCGGTATA